GTTTTTTTTGCCCTTGATTGTTATAAATTTAGGAATGAGCAGTTACAGATGCGATGGTTTGAACTAGTCTGTTCACTGACAAGTAATTTAAATGTTTCTTTTTTTTTTTTTTTATGGGGAGTGGGTTGCTTTTGTTTGCACTCTTCCTGCCAGTACTATAAGAAAGATTTGTGCATTGTAGCAAATCCTTGCTGCAAGGAACATAAAACAGCTACTTAATTTCTCTTTAAAGGAGAAACACTCTGGTTTGGCCTCTGGTTTTCACTCCATTAGGAATATATGGATCCAAAAAAATATGCATCCAGCAGAGTTTTTGGTTTTAAATCCGTGCTGGGGAGTTTATTTACTTATTTATTTATTTTAAAATACTTTTTAAAACTCAGACATACGAACTGGAAATCTACATGGCTGCTTCAAATTCTCCCTGTGTGAGTTGGTCTTAGGGGGATTTTTTTTCACAGCCAAAGACAGCTAGGTACAAAAATGTCTCTATCACCTTGCCCTTTTAATCTGCCCTTTTTGGGTCAAGAAAGGAGGGAGGATGGACACACCTTAGTTATCTGCTCCCAGCCCTAATATGATGTATGGACAGCTGCAGTTCCTCCAAACTTTGATTTATGAAAGTTTTCCTGGTTGGTGACTATGCTGAGGAACCATTTATTTTCCTTCTGGCTTGAGGTGTGGCCCCTTTTGTAAACTACCTGCAGCAAATCTGTTGTCTGTTCATTGCAGTAATTTAATGCTAATGACTTGCTTCACTGAACAGCAGAGAGGAAAAATAAGTTAAAATAATCCCAACAGATAAAAACATCGTGACTCAAAGCCCTGCACAGGAAATAAATTAATATTTCAGTGTAAGGCCTCGGGAGGTTTTAATTTATAATGTAAGCTCATCTTAAATACTTCATGCATAGGTGTACATTTTAGAGGATTTTTAAATTTATTTTATTTTACTGATACAAGCTCTATAGCCAGCAACACTGTGGGGAAAAACTGAAGTTAATTTCTGCCCAATATTGCTGTGCTTATCCAGACTTTATTTTTTCTCCTAGTTATGTTGTTTTGCTTATGAGCTTTGGATCGTTAATTAAGTGCTTTCTGTTGTTTGGAAAGAAAAAACCAAAACCAACAGATACCAAATTCTGGTTGGCTTAAAACTTGTAAGTAACTTAAAAGAAATACAAGCCTGACTTATATGGTCACATAATACCCTTATACCGCTTTTATTTTGTGGCTGGCTGTTCCCTAACATTTTATTGTTGCACATAAATATATTTGTACCGCCACATTTCGTGCCTGCTCCTGCACTGAGCCAAGTGGAAGCAACACAGATGCAATGTGGAAATTGAAATGAAGATGATACATAATACTTACAAAAAGCTTGACTAATCTTTATGCTGAAACACAGCAAAAGCAGCTACGTGAATAATAACACACATTCCTAATGCAGATTTTTTTTTTTCCAGTGGATGCACTGCATTGAAAAAGGCAGCTTATATAAAGCTGGAAGGTCCAAAGAAGTCAGTAATGGAATTACTGCAGTTTGAAATCTCACTGTGCTGGTTTTGATGTCCTTGTCACAAGGAACACCAGCTCTGTGCATATCAAACACCCTGCTGTAGATTTCCCTTTCCTTTGTCATGGGGTGGAAGGGCTGGGTTCAGACCCTGACTCCTCTAAGCGAATTTTGCACCACTGTGAATGCTGAAGGAGGGTTTTAATCACCACCACAGTGCCTGATTCACATTCCCAGCGTGGAAATATAGTTCTTTTGGGGAGAATAACGTGAGTTAAAAAAAAAAAAAAAAAAAAAAAATGAACCCAGAGGCACCACAAGTTTGCTGTTGGGAGGATGGATCTGCACTACCACTGCCTGCCGGTCTGGTTGGGGTTTGGGCATCAAACAGCCATCCCACTGTGCATTTCCAGGGAGAAAATCCTCCCTCAGCCAAAAAACACACATCCTCTGGCAGAGACAAAGGAGAGGCACAGAGCTGTCTCTGGTCCTCTGCTGCTGCCAAAAGGATGGACACAAGGAGGAAGGAATACTGCTGGACCATCAGCTGTGCCACTTATTCCAGTTCAACCTCACAGTTACTGCAGCCTCTCCTGCTAACAGCAGGAATAAATTCACATATGACATTTCTAGATTAAACCAGGAAAGTGCCTCATTTTTATTTATTTTTTTTTTCCACTGAAAGAGATTTCTTCCACGCTCATGTCTAAGCCACTAGGAAGCAATGATCAATCCAGTGAAGGGACAAGGAGAAAATATAATAGCATGTTGTTTCCTTTTTCTTTAGGGTTTTTTTTTTCCCCTTTGAAAAACAGTATGATATGTCTTGGAATAGTCAGAAATACCTTTTTATTTTTATTTTTTTCCCACCCCTGGTGGGAAGATCTCCTGGAGAAAAGATCAATATGATGACTGATTGCTTTGAGAATTTCTTCACTACCTGTCACTGACCCCTGAATGGCATGTATTCACTCAGTGAGACAAGGAATGTTGAGGAGTTACTGGATAGGTTTTTAGAGTCTGTGCTCTATAAATCACTTTATGAGTACAATAGCCTCTCTTGACCTACTAAAACACATTGGTAAAACTCATCATTCACCTCCAGTGAGAGGAGGACCATTTACTCTTTCCATTATCTAGGTCAGGGGAATCTTTGGAGAACTAATTACCTCCTTAAATGAAGAGAACTTTGACACCCCACCCCAAACCTACACACACTGAGGTGTTAAAAGCAGGTGGCCACTTTGGCTTGTCACTCATCCAGATGCTACCAGAGGGTTTTTGTGAGAAATGGTCCTATTACACCTGATAAACCTCCTTCCATGTCCTCACACTCCAGGTCACACAGAGAGACAAGCATGAAAGTGCTTTTAGGACACAGAAGATGAGGGAATCTGGAAACTTGCTTCTGCTTTGGTCCTGCATTGGGAACTTTCAGATTTTTCCTACAATTACTTGCATGGGGAGGTCTTTGCATTTAAAAGCCCTGTGTATTAAATAATTAGAAACTTCCAGGACAAACTTAAATTACACTGACAGAAATCAAAAGGTTTGATTGTCTTTCTGCTTAATTTGCCCCTTGCAAAATTAAGTATATAAAATACACAATATAATAAAATATACAAATACAGCTCATTTTAGTTACTCTTTCTCTCTGCTGCTCTCAGCTTTGAAAGTACATCTTTATTTTCCTTCTAAACTGAAAACATATTTCCTTTATAGGATCACAAAGGATTGGGGGTTTTTATGACCATTCCTGCAACTGCAACCAACTGTTGATTTCTGCACTTAAAATACTGTGGGTTTAAGTACCTGAGAAGTCAGGAAATAATGAGCAGTAAAGATAAAAACACTTAGCTATGTTTCAGAAATGTTCTTGCTCAGGGTTTTCATTTGTCCTCAGCTGAGGAACAACTGGCAGGATTACCATTATTACTCTACATATCATTGTTGTCATTTCTACTGCTTTTAACTGCTTTTGCCCAAAAAGCAAGCTCATTTCACCTGGGAGAAATAAAGCAGGCCTGGGCAGGGTCAGCTTTGCTTTCAGCTCCTTCCATCATCGTCAGCTCTGCCCAGCACCACATCCAATTGTGCAGCACAAGCCTCACCAAGAACCATCACAAGGGAACAATTTTGAGAGGCTGGGCTCTGAAATCAAACTGTGATGTCTCAGCATCTCTTATCTTTCTTCTCAGAGGGCAGACTCAGACTGGCATCATTCTTGCACCAAAGATTGAGAGGAGAACCAGACAGCAACCAGAGGCAACCAAGCTGGCCAAGCCTTGCTCTGGGTGCAGGACTTGTACTAAATCCCACATCAAGTACCTTTTGTGGGGGTATCATGAGGAAGAAAGAAGAAATCCTTAGGCTTAGACACAAAATGTGCATGCCTATCTTAATTAATTTTGGTACTCTAGAACTGCTCATCCCCTGACCTCCTTCCCAGCAGTCAGTTCTGTCCTGTGTCCTCTTTTCTGGGAACAGGAGAAAAAAAAATAGAAATAAAAATAAAAATGCTGCTTTCCCCTACCCATTTTTAGTAATGTACTTCTTTCCACCAGTTTTGACACAGTTTAAAGGAATAATTAAGATGCACTGGAAAGACATTTTGTCCTGAACCCAAGCTCTGCATGTGTCACCACCAGGTATAAAAAATGCTGCTTCTCATTAATTTTATCAAATGTTATTTGTATTTCACTTTTGATTCCAAAAGAAGCCCTAACTTTGCTTTGCTAAACTTCGTGTTTTTCCAAAATAAAATAAGGGAGGAAAAAGGTCCTTAACAGTGTCAAGAGATTTAACCTGTTTGGGTTCCTTTTCCTGATGACCAAAAATACCCTAAAACCTGGAAAACCTCATGGAGCTGCTATCTATAGTTGGCAAAAACTGAATTTTCATTGATAAGGGAGAAACAAGTGTCCAATTCACAGCTGAGTCTGGCACATAGGCAAGAAGAAGCCAAAAAGTCACTCACAAATGGCTAAACATGCCAGACACTGAACAAGAGCAATTCCTTCTTGTGGGCTTGGCATGCATACTGGGTTTCTAAGGCTCCTAAGTTTGTTGCCTCTCAAAAGCAAAAAGGAAAAAAATAAATTAACAAATTTCTGACCTACACTTAGTACGCTGGGTCCAGACACTTCCACAGAAGCTGCTCCTCACCTCTCTTCCACCCTCTGCCAAGCTGGCTTGGCCATTCCAGGAATCTGCTGCACACTTGTTCCCCAAACCTCCACTCAGGTTTGCAGGGGGGCAAACCCACCCACCCCATTCTGACCATTTGCTCCGATTTACTCCAAAATGAGGCGTTTTGCTCTTTCCCACCCTCTTCCCCGAGCTCCCACCCTGATATTGCCAAACCCCAGTGGGGCTGCAGAGGCTTTGTGGCGCTGGCATAAAAAGCAGGCATGGTTCTGCCAGGGAAAAAAATAAGTTTTGAGGGCCATGCCTTTTTTTGAGGACCAAGTTTTGAGGTACTGACCTCCAGGAGTGGCCTGGGCTTGCGCTCCACGGCGAACCTGAAGTGGCAGAGCTCGCAGTAGCTGGTGTTGGAGGACGACAGCCAGTGCTCCAGGCAGCTGCGGTGGATGGTCCCCAGCGTCCCCGTGCACTCACAGGGGGACAGCAGCTCCTCGTGGCTGCTGCCCTCATGGCAGATCCTGCAGATGGGGCGGTCATTGAAGGGGCTGCTGTGGGAGAGGGAGAGAAAACCGCTGGTCAGAGCGCCAGGCTGCGGGAATGGCCTTTGGCTCGGTCGTGGGCTAGAAATGTTTGTATTTAAGGGTGCTTTGCCCTGTGGTTGGTAATCCAAGCTGCTGGGCTAATGGTTTTGGTATTCCTGCTTAAATATCTCCTCTTTTTGGTGGGGGGGAAACGTGTAGAATGAAAGACATCATAGTGGCAGATGAGAGGCAGAAGATACGTCCTTCTGTATTTTGTATTTCCCAGCTCTTCACAAAGCAGCGGTGCAGGCGCCTCAGGAAATCCCAAAGTGCATCAGGGAGGCTGTAAATCTGCCTCAGCTGGGCACTTCTTGATGTAGTGGTGATCCTCTGACCTAAACATTATTTCCACTAGCCAACAGTAAAGGGCTGCTGAAAGGGTACCCCGAAGGCAGGGCCACAGCTTCAGAAAAGCACCTGAAGGCAGGAACCTCCTCTCCCTGGAAAAGGTTTCCCTCCCTTTGGGACACCCCACAGACAGGTCAAGGAGTGATACCAAGAGAACTGAAAAGAACTGTGCCAAGCACATCCCTGCTGTGTGGCTGCAGGTGGGTATTTCTTCTGCACTGCTTTAGGATCCATGAAGTCTTTCCAGCTCACCACCAGCAAAGACAAATTTAATTTTGACCCAAGCATCAAGTCTGGATAAGGCCAAACACATCAGAATACTCCTTCTTGCTTCTAATGAGAACAAAGCCAGCCTGAGGCATGCTTCAAAGGCATAGATTAACAATATATTTCACCACTGATCTGCCTCTCTAAACCAGCAGCAGGAAGAGCTGGTCAATCACTTGGGCAACGACAGAAGCTGCAAAGCTGGTGCTAGAAACAGCTTGTCTGGCTGCTCAGCACGCCAGCTGGTGGGTGTTTAGGAAGTGTGATGCATTCTGCAGGGTGCCCATCACCATGCTGGCGCTGGGGTTTAACCAGACCAGGCGGGAAGGGGCCTGTCCCTCCCTCTGTCCCCCCACATACCTCTGCACGGCGAGGGTCCGCACGACGGACGAGAGCAGCTGCCCATCCTTGGAGGACACCTGCATGACATACTGGGGACAGCTGGTGGCCAGGCCCCCGCTGCTGCTGCTGCTGGGCAGGCTCTTGCCATCGGGGGCCGTGGGGCGTGGGCACTCCGGAGGGACTCCAGGCAGGTGGCTGCAGCGGTTCGTCCTCATGGCTCTGGGCAGGGGGTCCCCATCTAGGCAGGAACCAGGACAGGGAGGTGCTGTGGGGCACATCTCTCCCTGTCTGACCAACACCTGGCGTGAGAAGGAGCATCCCTCACTCCCCAGCCCAATATTCCCAAGCCCACTCGGCAGGGAGAGGGGGTTGACGGCGTTGGGTGTCACAAAAATAAACACCGACCAGTCTGCACACCCCACAAGCAGCAAGCCAGCAACTCTGCTCTCTTCTCTCTGCAGACTCCTGAAGTCACGAGTGACAAATAGAGAGGCTGAACCCTTTGTCACTCCCCCCCCCAAAATGTTTCAAATGAATATACAGTCTTCACCCTTGTGCACTTTCAAATTTAAAGGCTGCCTGCCACTTGTCCGCCAACAGGGAAAGTGATGTACTGGAGGAGAAAGTGGCTGATCAGCTTCAAATCCCCTTTGAAAAAACTTCACTGCTGCTTAGTGTCTTCTATCACCAACCCACAGCAGAGCACAGACCTGGCAATTAATCCTGTACAGGGCTTTAGTCACACAAACCTGCTTAATCACAGCCTGGGCGCAGCAGTAATTTATGCCACAAGGTGAGGCAGAAATCACAGCCTGCCAGAGCCTCTCTCCTCCGCTTTGCTCTTTCTCACATGGCTGTGAGTGTGTTCTGCATGGTGCTTTCGACCACAGCAATGGGGAAGGAAGGGCTGTGCTGGGAGCAAGGGGTCTGGGCGTGTAAATTCCCTGATGCCTTGGTGGGATGGATGCTCCTGGTCGTGGAGGGCTCCAGCAGGCTGTGTCCCTGCCGCCTTCCCCTTGGGGCCAGGCAGCAAAATCACACACACAGGGTGGGTGAATCCCGCTGCAAAAGCAGGGAAAATTTCCCTAGCACGCCTTAGGACACTTGGCTGCAGTCCCTTGTAAACCTTGCAGGTTGCAGTGGTGATATTCCCCTGTCAAAATCAGGAGCTTCCCCCTCAAAACCAAAATACTCTGCATCACCCACAGCTGGAGGGTGCCAGCACTGCAGCTGAGAAGAATCTTTAAAAACCAAACAGGAATAAAACCCTGTAAACAGGGGTGTTTCTCCAGGGGTACAAGCACAAACCTTGCGACTTTTGCTGGGTTTGAGCAATAGCAGCACAAACCTTTGGAAGCCCCCTGAAGGGATGTCCTTGGCAGTAAGATTTCGCAGAGCGCTGCCGTGGATGCTGGACCACTTGCACCACACAAGTTTTCCACACAGGGACTCGTGTTCTTAGAAAGGCATCTAAAATAGGAAAATGCTTTGGCAAAGCGTTTGCTTTGCAGGATTACTTCAGCTATTTCCAGACCACACACACCCCAGGGAGCGAGCTGGAGGCTGATGAGACAGCTTACAGGGGAGAGAGTGCTCAGGGAATGGGGAAGGGAATCGGACTCTGGGCCTCATTTACAATGAAAATGAAGCAAATGGCTGATTGTCAAAACCATTAACATATAAAAGATGCAGACATTTCAAGAGAATAACAGCCACAGACTCTCCAAGGAGACCGTGGCGTTCAGCAATGTTTTAGTTTTAAAATCCGTGCTGAGACTGTTTAACAAGAAGGTTCAGCTGCTGAGTAGCTGCTTCATTAAACTTAAAAAAGCCTAAGAAGTATCATGCTTACAGACCCAAGCTACAGATTTATATATTTCTTTCCTGATTGCTTCACTGACCCCATTAAGAACAACAGTGGGTTTATCATTTCATGTAAAATGTCCATCCAGGCCTTTACAAACACATCCACCACTCACTTGATGAGCTTGGAGCATTTGCTGGAGCATCAGAAGATGCAACTAAATGCAAAAAAAGCCCACGGGAAATAATCTGACTATATCTCAGCAATGTTAATTCAAATTTCTGCCTACACCACTGCATTGATACCTCACTTTGGCAGAGCAGACACAGGTAATCCCTTTCTACTTGTTTAAAAGGAAGCTGAAAGTTTACAACATATTTTTCTGAATTCAGAAGAACCCTTTCCACACAAAATCAGTGCATGTGCCTGAAAAGCGATACAATTATAGAATTAAGTGATATGTGCTTTAATTCTGAACCCCATGGTAAAGAATGGAGATTAGTTGTCCTGAGAAGCACAGAGATCCAAAGCAAAACCTAAATTAAAGCTGGCATTAAGGAATAGCAAATCCTAAGAGCCACAAACTCCCAAAGTCAATATTTACCCATATGTATGTGTCATGTCAAAAAGTTTTTCACCTGAAACAAGTGGAAATCAGTCAAAAAATGCCTCAATAAAAGAGAAAATAATGATCAAAACCAGGAAGACGTGCTTAGATAATATTTATGAAGACAAGCAATATTAAATTGGGGAAGACAGAATATCAATATTTATTCCAGACACCAGAAAATTCTGAGAAAAGTGGCAAAATTTGGCATGATGAATGTGTGGTAGCATTTAGCTCTTTGTTTTTTTCTTTTCTGTGTTGTCACTAGTCTAGTTTTTCATTTACTCTGATTTTATATATATATATATAGGCATCCGAGTAAAAGTAAAGGTGTTGCAGATATTTTCTTCATGGAGTAGTTGTAAAAACAATGACAAACCAACCAGTAAACTCCAGCAAATTATCCAAGGGCATTGAAGCCAGGCAGAAGATTCAAGTTCAGAAGACACCCTTTGCCCCATAATAATTCATAGGATGCTATATTCCTATTTAAGAGATTTATATGTACCAAAAAAAAACCCCACAAGGCTCAACAAGAGCCAGTGAGCAAGACACTGCCCCTCCAGTTGAGTTGCACTCAAATAAGATGTTAAGAACCAGCATCAATGCCCTGAAATGGAATTTAAAGATGAAGCCATCTGCAGAGCTGGAATACAGCTGGAATCCCGGCTCCTCTCTTCCTGGCTGTGCATGAGTTCACCCAGTTCTTAGACCTAGAAAGCATCATCAGGGTGACAAGTTAAATTATCATAGCATTGCCTTTTTAAAGCAGTGCTGTTCTCCTGCTGAAGCTGTGAGTGGCTGAGATTTGCACAAGACAAAATGATCTTTACACTTCGAGCAGGGGTCTGCAAATGTTGAACGTGGAGCAACTTGCAGAGTTGCTCCCTTTTCCTTTTTTTTTCCAGCATCTCTGCTAAGAATAGCACTTATTCCACCTCTCTCAGTCATGGTTTCAAACTTGGAAACCCATTCACCTTTCTGATTCCACGTTCCCACGAGTTCACCCCATTAGTTTCAAGAAATGGGATACGAGCTTGCACCAATCAGCTTAAAAAGGTGTATGGAAAACCACTAGCACCCCATCTGGAGACATTTTCCCAAGAAATAGTGCATTATTTTAAAAAGACAGCCAAAAAAACTAATGCTGGTGTTAATAATAACAGCAACAAACCAAACCAAACCAAAAAAAAAAAAACCCACACCAACAGAAAAATCCCAAACACGTACACAGAAAAATAATAATAAAAAACAAACAAGAAAAAAATCCCAAAGAAACAAAAACAACAGAAAAAACCTAAATAACCAAAACACCCCCTCTAGTTTTCAGAAGCTTTCACAGATACTGATTCCTATTTATGTAATTTCACATAATTTTGCACATTTTACTCCAGAATTTTGGACCTCAGCAACACGTGGACAGTTTTTTCACTTGGGATTTCAGCAGATCTGGAGAATTCTCTATCTTCCTGCAAGGTGGAAGAATGGTGCAAGTTATGGAGGGGCATCTCCCACCTTCTTTTCTACTATCAATTCTGGCTGGCTACTCAGAATGCAAATTGCTGCATTCTCAGTAATAAATTCTGAGTAATAAATTCAGGTTTTCAGAAGCTGTCAGCAGTGCAGTTAAGAGGCTGTGTGAAAAAAGGTGTTCTCCACTGGCTCAAGTGTCACAAGATCATGCATTGCCTTTGTTTCTAGAAATGGGGAACAGGAACTCACCTCTCCCTCACCGAGGTTTAGACAATAATTTTATGCCACCCTTTAGGATGCTCCAGAGAGCAAAGCAGACATTGCACTCACTGGGTCACACACAGTTTCACCCTTCCCACCAAAAAATGCAGGAGAAGAACCAAAATTCTCAACTCCAGAGCACTCTGAAACCTCCTAGATTTTTACTTACTAAGAAACAAAGCAGGGTACTCTGAAGGTGGAATAGACAGAACACTTTATGAAAAGTAAGAACACCTGGAGCACCTGAAAATACTGTTTTAGTGGACAAACATCAAGTTTAATGTGCATCCTTTCTCATATCTGGAATAGTTTGAAATGTTTCTTGACTCTCCCCTCCACAATCCACCACAAAGAGCTTCAGGGGATGCCCTCCTGGTTCCAAATACACAAATACTGAGTAAAAAGTTGGTGGAGTAACTGGCAGTTCCAGCTGAAACCATGGATGCTGCAGCTCCACAAGACCCCCCCACAGTAAAACAAAAAAAAAAATAATTTATATAAAAATTAATTTCTTTAAAAATTAGTTTTCTCTAAAAATTGCTTTCTCTAAATGGAGAAGACAAATCCCTACACTTGATAATGCCATGTGACCCAGCACAAGGAGACAAAAAAATACTGCCTGACCTGCTCATTTTGGAGCTCTAAAGCCATCAGAGAGAGAGGCAGCTCCAGGACACGGCAGTTCTGGTGAAGCAGGAGAAGAAAGCTGGAGAAAACTGGTTTTGGTCAATAGCATCCAACTTGCTATATTGCACCACCACCTTGTAAGGAGCTGTGAGAGACCGCTGAAAGGTGCAAGAGGAAGATGTGGTAATTGTTCACCAGCTGAGGAGGACAGATTTCACATTAAAGTGTTTCGACATGCAGAAAGTAGCACAATATCAAACCCAGATGACATTGGGCAATTTTACTCTGTTCCAGCCCACATTTTACTAATTTTTCAGGCTGTAAATAGCATTTCCCATTCATCTGGCCTGACTGCAGAGAGCTCCAGGGGCTTTTAAAAACTGCCATGCAGTAGGCTGCATTCAAAGTGCAATTTTATAAACAAGTACATCAAAAAAACCTGAGTGCTGGTCTGAGGCAGCACCACGAAGCAGTCCAGCACAAATAGTCCTTAAGAGTCTGACCATGCATTTAAAACTTCACTGCCATCACAAATCATTGTTATTTTGTTATGTACTGAACCTTGAGCCACTTTCCATGAGATCAATAGACTGCCTTTTTGGCACTGTGAACTCTAATAAATTGCTTTATATGCCTGCACAGCCACTAACTTGAGTAATTTGCTTAGATCTGTATCCTTTTGTTGGTTGTTGAAATGAAAGTTTTCAGGTGATAATAAATGCCATAAGTACTAGTGGTGGTGGCATTTTATCCTTGCATTAATAAGAAAAAAACCCAGAAGATACAAATTCAGTTTTCAACTGGACTGGAAATAGAATTTCTTTTTTGTTTTTACCAAGGTATAAGGAAATATGTATATTTTCTTCCCTTGTATTAGTTTTTGTTCTAGCAGAAATGTCTTTCTTCACAGGCTACAAAGGCACCTACTCTAACATGTTCCTAAATTCCCTTTTTTTCGTTGCCAAATCAGCTTCAGACGCCCACTCCCCTATTTCCCCATTCCTGCCCACAAACTTCCTGCTTATTCTGGCCCCAGAACATGGCTTAAACCACAATTGATTTCACACTTAGGCACCAAAACACAGTGAGAGAATTAGGATCTGCTTATGTACTCAAAGCTGGCATGTTAAAAGGTCCAGAAGTTTGGGGTTTTTGCAGTATAAAGTTCTGGATTCTCTTTTCTCTTCTAAATTAGGTGACTTTATACAAATGAGTCAAGCACTTCTTGGCCTGAAATGTGCAAGATGAGAATTTAATTTGCTCTCAGCAGCTGTCAAAGGACAAAGAGCTCCATGTCAGCCCTAAAAGCCAGGGATCATCTCTAAAAAATCACTAAGTCCTGGAGAGTGACAGTGGTTTGTTTTTTTTTTTGCACTGTGTGTTTCACTGACGAGGCACCTCCTTCATGATGGGAACTGCAAAACTTTCAGCAGCCCCATTCTCTGCAAGTACCTGGGATTTCATCAGAAAACCTCTGCCTTTGGCAATTTCCAGCAGCAGCAATTTTAACTGCACCAGCCAGCACCTCTGCTCCTTTGAGGTGCTTCATTCCTGCTGCTTGTTTTGTCAGGAAAAAATTAAAAAAAAGCAAAATCTGGGAGTGCAGGGTGCTCATTCCACCCTCTGAGAGTGCTCCAAAGGAATGGAACAGGAGTTACACCTAACCACACCCTGGTGTTTTCAAATATTCTGTCAGCGGATGGGGAGAATCGAGACAGTGTGAGGACCAATGCTGCTGTGAAATATAAAGTCTTAAAGCCTTTATTAAATACCTGTAGGTCCTAGGAGGGAAAATTCAGTCAGATCTGATCCCAGTGAGCTGCATTTGATGGAGTTGTTGACCTGCCCCACATTTAGGCTGGGCTCAGAGCTACTGTCCCACTGTAGGATGGAGCTCAGGGGAAAACACTCCAAGTTAAACATTTATGTGCTCACAAGGCCACGTTTTCACATCCAAAAATAGCCCTCCCCATTCCCTCTGCAAGGCTGACAGGAGGGCTGGCAGCATCACAAAGATCATTGCCCTGCCCACGAAATAAATCCCTAATTTGGCTTTTTTATTTATTTTTCTTTTTTTTCTCACACAGGTAAATATCAGCTGAATCCAAACTGATCCCTCCTGGCCAGGTAAGGCCAAGCTGAAAATTACTTACTTAAACTGCAAATGGTGTAAATAGTTAATAAGGCTTTGCTTCGAGCCTGAGGTTTGCTCATGAGCTCTTTTTCATGTAAACCTTGTGTAAATTAACTCTTTGACAAATGGGATCTGCTCTTAAATTGTGGTTTTACCAGGCTCAGGGTGGCCAAATCCACCCAGATTTTGAGGCTGTGAGCAAGCCACACGTCTGCAAGAGTTTGAGTAGCAGAGAGCACAGAGAGTGCTGGCAGGTGATGGAGGCAAGAGCCTGAAAACTGCAGGGCAAAAAGAGACAGCAAAAAATATTTAACTACTAATGGGGGATGCTTGGAGAAACGTGGTCAGGGTATTTCTACAGACAGCTTAACAAAAATGCTAATTCTTCTGCTCATCATTGCTAAGTTAATTATTTGCCCGTTTTCAGTACATTTGATTCTTCCAGCTCCTGCAGTCGATACCGCACACAAATATGATCCTGTTACAATTATTGCATTTATACTCCTCACTATTGATGGGAAAACAGCTCAATGTATGAAACTTAGAAAAGATACTAAGCCCACTTTCAAATTAAACTAAGTAGAAAACTGAAAACATTTCTCTTTTTAATAGCTTTATATTTTAATTCCAGAGTTTGGCAATATTGGCTGCATCAGTTCTTGCATCTGAGAAAAGCTTCATTAGAAGCTCAATGAGCACAAGCTGTCTTTAAGACTCCAGTTTTGAAACAAAGACTACTCTCATACCCTACACACCTCTGTTTTGATGCATTGTAATTTAACCTGAAATTGTTCTGGTACCTCCATATTAATTTTTTTTTTTTCCTTCCTTAGTCTTCGTCTGCATAAAAATTTAATATTAGCATTTAGCTCCTGCACAGAGGACTTCTCTCCTTTCCATGTGATTCACCCCAAATATCTCACTGTCTGCAAGGTGCTTTAGTGCATTACTAAAAATGTTGTCTGGTGCTCTGCATTGAAGCCTACGTGCACCAAGCACAATCAGAAGCCCTTTTCCCTTCTTCCCTGGGTATTGTGTTTATCAGTTCCACAGCAAGGCTGAAAACCCCATGGGGTGGATTCAATTCTCATGTTTTATTCAGCAGTGAATCACCTGGATGACGGCCTGCAAGCACATGGAACTTGGCTTCTGTGTGTGATGCTTTGCAAAGCATGCCCCAAACTAATATATTTACATGGGGAATATGTGCTTTCACTTGTTCTAAGCAGGTGGGATCACCCCAGGTGTTTCTGGAGGTGCCATCTAACAAGACACTTCCCTGAAGAGAATTTACTTTGCATCACTTTGTCTTGTTGTGTTTCACTAGGCAGCAGCTGAGTGTTTGATGTTTGACGATGGGGGAATTAGTCTTCCAAATACCTCGTTTGAAAAAGAGGAGAACACTTCAAAAAGCAGAATTCCTCCAAATGCAGGTCTGCTCCTCTCCATTTTCCCTTTTTACCCTTTTTCAGTCAGAAGCAGCTAAAAATATTCTTGCTACATCTTCCTTCACATGGGAAGATAAACCCTTCCTGTTCCCATATCAGTCTATTTCTCCCAGCAGGAGCAAAATGTGGACTCCATGGGTTTCTGTGATATTTACATAAAGATTTCCCTCTGAACTGGAATTTGGGGGAGGGGAAGAGTTTTTCATCAAACTCCAAGACTTTCACTCCAGTCCAGAATGAGACAAATACACATGGGGATATTGTGAGTTAATTAAAATCAGTGATAATTCCCTAGACTAACTAGGTTTACATGGGTATGTGATGTGTTATATAAAACTAAATGCTGTGGGGACTGAGCAGCTCCATTTCTTTTCCAGTAATGAGCATACCAAGAATGCTTTTAGTCATTGTCACATGAAGTTGGCAATGGTCAAACAAATCAGATCTGACGTGCAGACCTGGAAAGGAAAAGTTATGGCTGCAAAATAAAGCACAAATAATTCAATTTCTCTTCAGTAATCCTCAAGCAAATTACTGAAATGCTGCACTAGTGAATCAAAACTACAAGATAGATTTAAATCAAAATGGCAGAGGTAAAATTTGACAACATTATTGTCCTTATCAAATCCAAGAGAAATACCAACAAGAAAAATAACAAAAAGATAGTTAATTCTAACAAAAGCTAGGAAAAATAAATTAATATGAAGGTACCAGAACGATTTCAGGTTAAATTACAATGCATCAAAACAGAGGTATGCAGGGTATGATAGTAGTCTTTGTTTCAAAACTGGAGTCTCAAAGACAGGTTGTGCTCACTGAGCTTCTAATGAAGCTTTTCTCAGATGTGAGAACTAGGTATCAGCTTTATTCCTATGAGAAATAAAGGCAGTGGAAGTCTGGAGTGGGTTTGAGCTGATCTCAGCTGGGATTTCACCCTGTGTGTTACTGTGACTTCTGCACTGAAATCAACCATGACATGCAGATTTTCTTGCATGCCCAAGACCAGCTTGGTATAGGAATATTAGAACTTTGCAGAACAGCAGTGAGACAGACTGATGGTAAAAAAATTATACTGTTATGTAATTGGACCTGCAGGACATTTCATAGATTCCTATAGCGTGATTTAGCAGGCTCTGCCGTTTGTTTTCACTGCCAGAGAATTAGTAATCCTTTTTTTAGAAGCTGAGTATGTGTAATCCAGAAACTGGACACCACATCCATGAGCCACAATATTATTGCAGCTTGGTGGAGCTTTGTGTGTCAGAATCAGAGGATGGAAGGGACCTTAAAACCCACCCATTCCCACCCCAGCCACGGCAGGGCCAGCTCCCAGTGTCCCAGGAGCTCCCAGCCCCAATGTCCAGCCTGGCCTTGGGCACTGCCAGGGATCCAGGGGCAGCCCCAGCTGCTCTGGGCACCCTGTGCCAGGGCCTGCCCACCCTGCCAGGGAATAATTTCCCCCTAATATCTGATCCAAATTTACTCTCTGTTAGTTTGAAGC